CGATTTTTACCAAGAGACCTTTTTTACGTAAAAAGCGTCGTAAATGTATATTTTTTACTCACTAGTTTTATACAGGCACGGACGAAAAGTCAATACTCTTCAAACCAGTTAAAAGATATGTAGGTGGCGCCCTCTACTAATAGGAGTCATATTGACATAAAAATCAAATTTCTGGTGTCAAAAAACTCCCAGACACTAATTTTAATCCAAATATTGACGTTACTGCAAAAATTACTTGAAAAACAATAGAAATAAAAATGAAACTTTTACACCCTATATCTCCGAAACTAAGCATTTTTGGACAAACATTTTTACTTAATTTTATCTGCAGAATATGCTGCCGAAGTTTCCGGAATACAGTTCGGACCACCCTGTATATTTTACTGTCATAACATGGTCTTATATTATCGATCAAATAATAATATATTAATTTTGCTTTTCTTTTATAACATTACTTGTTTCCTTATTTTTATTATAATATAACATCGTTGGAGTTTTTATCTCGGTTTTTATCAAAAGAATCATTTTTCTTAATATGTGTTATCCATATATAAAATAATTACTTTATTACTATAAATTTATTAACTAACATTATTTAAAAATGTCGAATTTCTCTTGCATGCAAATAATAGCATGTTTGGTTTTTGGTTTGCAGATATAATGTATAATAAAATATGGAAAATGATACATCAAAACACTCTATAACATCTGAATATGAGGGTTTAACAACTGCAATAGAGTTATAAAAATATTGATAAAAAAATACTTTCTAAGCGAAAAGATGTCTAAGATCAGCGTAGATAAGAAGTTAGATCATGTGCCCTTTAAACAAGAGTAAAAAAATTTTTCCTTTTATTAAAGAGAGTTAGGATCCTGAAGGAGTATATAGGATCAAAGAATTTGCAAGTTGTAGCTTTTGCAAGAAGATATATTCGTGTAATTGTGTATCATCATCTCATACCTTTAACCCTGGTAATTCTTCCTGCTATTTGGTAATACAGAACCACTTACAAGATGCGTAGAACTTATCTTTGATAGGAACTATCGGAAACAAAAAATAGCCATCTTAGCCGAGAACCAAGCAGCATTAAAAGCAATCAACTTAGTAACCATCAATTTGAAGTTAGTCAAAGAATGCCTAGAGAAGCTCAACAAATTAGACAAATATAATAAAGTCCTCCTGCTCTGGGTGCTAGCTTACCAACGGATAGAACTAGGAGGCAATGAAAATGCAAACGATCTAGCTAGAATAGGAGCGAACACCCCCACTAACTGGACCAGAACCGTTCTGCTTCCCAAGTGGAAATCAATTTAAAGCGGAACTCAAGAACCTGGAAGACTCCATCCTTAACCTGGAATGGGAATCCTCCAACGGGCTAAAGCACTCACAAATTTCTCAGAACTTACGACCGAGAAAAATAAAATATTTTCCTTGATTTAAGTAAGAACAATCTTCGAATTGTCACGTAGTTTTTAACAGGACACTGTCTCCTCAACGAACACCTCAGTAGATTGAAGCTAAAAAACAAAGGGGAGTTTCTGTGGGGAAAATGTTGAAACACCAGAACACCTCATCACTGAGTGCGCAAATATGACAAATATTTGTGCCAAGAACTTTGGTATGACCTCTGGTATGACTGATATCGCAGATGGAAAACTATCCTCTGCAAAAGCATCTCAGATACTGACTTTTGTCAAAACCCTAGACTGTATGATAAGTTATAACTCAAGAAAGGAGGCTAATCTATAAGAGGAGGAATAGATCTATAAGGTCGCGGTGATTAACCCGCCTCCTATTCATTCTACATTCTACAGTTTTTTATTTAGCAGTTTTTTTTTGAGAGACATTTTCTAATTCGTACATAACTTCTTTTAATTAATTTATTATTTTTTAGTCATTATTTGTCCAAAATATTCATCAGGATAAAAAATAGATTTTTAAAATTCCTTAATGATACAAATTATTAAATTTTAACTATATTTTTAGAAACTTGTTTATTTTATTAGTTATTTTTTATTAGTTTATTAGGCTTTTATCCTCTCACTACGGAACACTTCACTGACAGATCTCACCCAATTCCTTTAAATAGACCCTCGCGTTTCCCCATGGGGCATAAGATCCTTCCCCAATAATTACACTCTCAAATAAATTGGTACCAATAAATCAACGGCTCCGGAGAAGGATGTGTTATATAAGACATTTATTACTTTATTAGATTTCCTAATCTTCTCAATAAAACGAGACAGTTTATAATCCAGACTTAAAACAACAGTATGATTTATGTTGGAGTTTAAAAAAAAAACATGAAACGTTATAGATAAAGAAGATTTATTTGTTTTTCTTTTTTTATCTTGCTAATTGGTTTTTTATACGGGGAGTTTCAAAAGGGCATGTGTTTTAGAAGTTAAATTTTTTGAAAAAATTCTCTTCATGTTACTGTTTGAAACTAAAAGAATTTCGGACTCCATGGTATGTGGTGTGCCAGTCTAAGGAAGGTGCTTTCTCTCTCTTGACGATTCCATATTTGAATAGAACATAAGAAAAATTGAGGCGGGTAGCCAAGCAGTAAAGAATTAAGTGACTTAACTAAAACAAAACTGGAATAATGAAACAGAAGAGGAAACATGCATCTACAAAGTCGTATATTGGAAAAGCAAAACGTCCTCTACATGTACGACTTAGCGAAGAAAAAGAACATAAGCAAAGAGGTAAAACAATGAAGTCAGCTATTGAAGATCATTTGTGGTCCAAGCATCGCAACATAAAATGATCGGAAGCCCGAGTTGCCCACAAGAAATCTCAAAAAACTGTATTCATATCTAGCAATAATAACATTTATCTACGTCAGTGAGTTAAGAAGCTCTTAACTCAAGCATTTTGAGTGAGTTAAGAGCTTCTTAACTCACGCATTTTCATTACCGCACTCTTTGTTTAGATTACTACCAAAGAGAAAAAAATATTTTGTAAAACATTTATTTTGCACTAAATTGGAAAAATATGTTATGAGTACCTTTTCATTTCCATAGTTGTGTACTTTTTTTCGGTGCACCATTTTTCACACTTAGAGTATATATATTCATACTTCTGTTTCGATCTTGATGGATGCAATCCAGAAATGGCTCTGAATGCCTCTTCTTCAATGTCAGAAGGAATACTTTCCGAATCGCTCATTTTTTAAACTAATGACATCAATATTATTTACTGTCATATTGACATTGCCATGCATGGTGTTATTTGAACAAAGGTATTAAGGTATAGTCATCATCATCATCAGCCAGCCCTTTGCGTCCACTGCTGGACATAGGCCTCCCCCATTTGCGCCCACTGTTGCCTATTTTGTGCGCTCTGGATCCAGTTATTGGTGATCCTTTTTATGTCGTCAGTCCATCGTGTTGGTGGTCTTCCCTGGTTTCTTTTGTCAGCTCTCGGTCTCCATTCGAGCAGTGTTTTGGTCCACCTACCATCGGTCACTCGAGCCACATGTCCAGCCCACTTCCACTTGAGTGTAGCGATTCGTGACACAACGTCGATGACGCCTGTTCTCGCACGTATATCCTCGTTGCTTATATGATCCCGCAAAGACACTCCAAGCATTGATCTTTCCATTCGTCGCTGTGCCACTCTGAGCCTCTTAGCAGATGCGATGGTCAGTGTCAAGGTCTCAGCTCCATACGTCATAACCGGTAGTACACATTGGTTGAAAACCTTTCGTTTTAGGCAGATTGGCTGGTCGCCCTTAAACACATCTTTTAACTTTCCATAGGCGGCCCAAGACAGGGTTATACGTCTCTTCAGTTCGCATGTCTGATTGTCTCTTGTGATCTGTATCTCGTGTCCCAGGTAGTTATACCTATCCACAAGCTCCACCTCACTGTCACCCACAACAATATTTCCACTGGGAACCAGGTTGGTCATGAATTTGGTTTTTGAGAAGTTGATCTTCAGACCAACCCCGATACACACCTCCCGCAATTCTCGGAGCATCACTTCAGTATCCCTTAGGTTGTCGGATAATAAAACAATGTCATCAGCAAAACGCAAATTTGTGAGGTTCTTGCCATCAATCATCAGTCCCTTCCCCTCCCAGTCGAGTTTTTTAAAGGCACTCTCCAAAACGGCGGTAAATAATTTCGGTGATATAGTATCTCCTTGACGAACGCCCCTGCCTATCGGTATGGTTTTAGTGTTCTCGTGTAGTTTTACCGTCATCGAGGCGTTTTTATAGATATTGTAAATAAGCCTTGTGTATCTATAGTCCACCCGACATTCTTGCAAGGACCTTATCACTGCATCCATTTCTACTGTATCGAAAGCTTTCTGGAAATCGACAAAAGCAAGTACAAGCGGCCTGTTGTATTCAATGGATTTTTCTATTATAATTTTAATACTCTGGAGATGGTCATTGGTTCCGAACCCTGCACGGAAACCCGCTTGCTCTATCGGTTGGTAAAAATCCAATTTCTTCTCGAGTCGTGTTGTTATTATCCTCGTAAACAGTTTATAAAGGTGGCTAAGCAGACTTATCGGTCTATAGTTTTCTAGATCTGCTATGTCCCCCTTTTTGTGAAGTAGTATTACTACAGCATTGTACCACTTCCCAGGCAGAGTACCATCAAAAAGGCAAAGGTTGAAAAGATCCACAATCTTCTGAAGCAAACATTCACCACCAATCTTAATTGCATCTGCGACCACACAATCCTCGCCGGGAGATTTATTATTCTTGGTGTTCCTTAAGGCTAGTTCCATTTCTTCAAGTGTGATATCTGGTAGTGTTTCTGACCCTTGATTTACGATGCCCTTTGTCCATGTCAATATCTCTGGTTCGACTTCTGAATCCTGTGTCCCTTCCCCCCGACTTCGGTACAGCAGTCTATAAAAGTCCTCAACTATCTTTAAGATCTCCTCCCTGTTGGTCGTGATATATCCCTGATGGTCTCTGATTTTTGTTATTCCAGCTGTTCCGCTTTGAAGACTCTTTCGTAGCACTTTCATGCTTTTGTTATTTTCTATTGTCCGTCGAATCTCGTTTTGATTAAATGTTCTGAGGTCGCGCCTAATGGCCTTTGATATCTGTTTGTTTATATCTCTTAATTCGTCGACAGTAGTCAGCTGTTCACTTCTCGTGGCCCGTCTTTTATCCATAAGTCTCTTGGTAAATTTACTGAGTTTTTCTTCTCTTTGTGTCTTGGGGCAGTACCTGTTTTGACTCTCTAACAACGCATTTGTGATGTTTTCGTTTAAACCGTCAATACTGTTCTCCTGCGTGTAATCCTGTAGCTGTTCTGTGATACAGCGCTGGAAACCTTCTAAATCTGCCGGCTTTGTCCATGATCTACTACCAGCCTTTTTAATCATTTTAAGGCGTTCTTTTCCTGTGTTAAGTTCAATTCTGGCTCGCACTAGTCGATGGTCGCTTCTTGTGGTTAGTTTATTCAACACCGTCAGGTCTTTAACTATATGCCTTTTATCGGTAATGATGAAGTCTATTTCATTCTTAGTTCGCCCGTCCGGGCTTTTCCATGTCCATTTTCTAGCAGACCTTTTTTGAAAGAAACTATTCATTTGAAACAAGTTGTTTTGCAGTAAGAAACCGAGCAGTGTTTCCCCACGCTCATTTCTGTCCCCCAGACCGAAACCCCCCAGTGAAGTCTCCGTAGGATAGGACTTTGTTCCCATTTTGGCATTAAAGTCTCCGCGCAAAATAGTAAAGTGTGTTCGTTCGTCTTTAAGAGCAAAATCCACATCGTCATAGAATATATCCACCTCTTCATCGGGATGATCGGTCGTCGGTGCGTAGACCTGAATGATCTTGATTTCATATCTGGTGCTGAGCCTGAGAACCAGATATACAACCCTGTTTGAGATTTTCTTGAGAGACACGATGTTTTGTCTATGTCGTTTGTGTATTAGAAAGCTGGTTCCACCAAAAGAGCTATTCTCGTCTCCCACGAAGTAGAAGCTGTGTCCGGATTTCAAGTTAACTAAGTGTTCGCCACGCCTTCTGATTTCGCAGAGGCCAACCACATCCCACTTGATGTGATCGAGTTCATATTCGAGTTCTGTCAATCGTTCTTCTGACAACAGCGATCGTGCATTGTATGTGGCAACATACATCGTAGAGTTTGTCTTTCTCTTCGCCAAATGTTTGTCCCCCCCAGAATCCGTGGGACAGACTGATTTAACATCAATGCGAGATTCCGAATTTTTATTTCTACTCGCCTGGGGTAATCTTGTTTTTACAGTTGGCATGTTAATAGGGAGTATTTTGCCACGTTGGCAAGACGTCTTGGTGAGTATGTGATTCAGCCGCCCATTCTGGGTCAGATGCTGTTTGCAGCCGCTCATTCTGAGTCAGACGCTGCGATTTCGCCATATCTGGCTACCCTCACTTAGTTTAGCCCGCAGGTGGATGCGGTTTACCGGGGTGTGGCACGTGGAGCCATAAAGTGAGAGCTGGGTGTCCTGTGAGGACTAGTCATCGCCGACCACTCAACGATCAGATCGCTGAGTGCCACCGTCCTTGATGAAAAGTACTACCTCTCCAGCACAACCCCATACACCCCTAAGGTATAGTAAACGCCACGAATGTTTGGGAGTGATTCATCGGTCGCTACCATGTGAACTAATCTGTTCAAGGTCGCATAAAACTTAATTCCAGTGCCGTGGTGTTTTAAGTCATATAATAATCAATATATAATCTGTTGTAATTTGTTGTTTTAACTGTCAAAGTCTTGTCAAAACATATATTTGGTTATAAATATAAAATGGAATGCCCCAAGTAGGAGGAGCGCAGGCAGATGATTAGACCGGGCCTTTAAAAACCAACGTCCGCGGTAAAAATTTACGTTTTTAATGTAAAAATGACAGCGCGCGTGTCGATTCTAACTTCATCAAGCGATGAATCACTCCCAAACATTCGTGGCGCTTACTATAATTGATTTTTGGGATAGGTATGTAGTTAAGTACAATAATTTTTAAAATTCATTGTGTGTTTTTATAGTTAGACGTAGATAAAATATTGTACAATTCACGCGAGTTAACGCCATTAAGATACTTGTGTGGTTAACTTTCACACGCGTATCTTAATGATGTATCTTATAGAAATATAGATCTGTTACCTTCCGGGATGAAGAAGTTTCTCTCTAGTCGATTCAAGAATGCAATTTAAAACTGATGCATACAAACTACTACATATTCACGATGTTATTGTATGGGGAATTACAAAACTAAAGAATTGGGAAGATTGGCAACCTAATGGCCGAATTCGTGACAAGGCTCTAATTTGAAACCTTACTTCTTCACTCAACAATTTCACTTGGGATGCGGGTATACTAGTATATAGCGATAAATTACTAGTATCGTTAGATTGATGAGATCTATAACAAGTTTAAGTTTACAGTAAGTGGAAAGATTTTCGAGAAGTTGATAATAAAGTAATAAAATAGCCAATATGGATAGCTTTCCCTCTATGATGATAGCCAATAATTGAAGATACGCCACACAAAAAAGAAGAGTCAAATATCATATCAAAACTATTATGTCAAATCTTTACACTTAATTAGGAATATCATATTAGGACTCAGGTTAACATCATATTGGGACGTTAATTAGGTTAATATCATATTATTTTTTAGATAGGTTGTTAATTTGTTTATATAAATTTTAAGTACCGTATGATAAAAAAAACGCCGTCTAGTTGGCTTGAAAATGAATATGGATGATATTTTATTCTCCATATAATTTTACATATAAAATGACAGCGATCTTCATTTCATCGCTAATGCCGTTTTTCTTCGATCATACGATATATTTAACGATATCGTAAAAATTTCTTTCGAAAAACATAATGTAGAATTTTTTTAAATATTACTTATTCAAAAGGAAAGAGTCAAATATATGATTAGAAAAACATATTCTCAGAATCAAAGAGTTAGAAATGACCAGAGAATGGCTGGAATAATACCCGCCTGTGGCTATTTTTCTTGTAATTAAGCTCCATTAGGTTTAAACGCCAAGAAACCTGCAGAATATTATACCGTACACTCTTACATGCTGTATATCAGATGTTGTTAAACGCGAAGTTACCAAGAAATAATGCACGTTAGATAATGACCGCGATGGTAATGCAGAGTTAACCCGGGGCTCACTGTAATTTATTGTTTGTTGCTTTTGCATATATTATTCAAATGGTCACTATATTCTCGATTTGATTTGTATAACTCCGTTTGAGCTCTGGAAGTATTTTTGAAAGGATCCCTAATATAATAAATCACAATGTTGATAAGTCGGTTAATGACATTATAGATTTATAATAGATATTTACGATACAAGTGAGTTAACCACATCATTAAGATACGCGTGTGAAAGTTGTAACCATACAAGTATCTTAATGGAGTTAACTCGCGTGTATTGTACAATATTTTATCTACGTCTAACTATAAAAACACACAATGAATTTTAAAAATTATTGTACTTAACTTTATACCCATCCTAAAAATCAATTACCTTAATACGTTTGTTCAAATAACCCCATGCATGGCAATGTCAATATGAGTAAATAATACTGATGTCGCTAGTTTAAAAAATGAGCGATTCGGAAAGTATTCCGTCTGACATTGAAGAAGAGGCATTCAGAGTCATTTCTGGATTGCTTCCAGCAAGATCGACACAGAACTATGAATATACATACTCTAAGTATGAAAAATGGTGTACCGAAAAAAAAGTACACAACTATCGAAATGAAAAGGTCCTAATAACATATTTTTCCAATTTATCCGTTACTTATAAGCCTTCGTCTCTTATTTGGGCTTTCTATTCAATACCGGGTAGCCAACTAAGAATGGACGCCGGCTGTATCTCAGAAACTACTTATCGTATAACTTTAGGAAAAAAAATCTAATAAGTAAATCGACCAAGAGAAATTGCTGGAAATTATTTTCAAGTTCGAAAAATATCCGCTAGGGGGCGCTTCTCTGATAGTCAATCATAAAACAGGGTTTTTCTCAAAAATGTGCAGGTGAACAGGTATTTTAAATATTACTATAGTAAACACCGAGAAATTTGTAATTTTTTTGATATAGAGTATTTTGCTCTGTCTCATAAAATAAAGTGGTGGGGGAAGGTTAAACTTACTTTTATTAAAATAAGGATAACTCTGGTTTGGGTTACCCGATTTAAAAAAAAAAACGATTTAAAAACTTACTTATAAGCTAACTAATGTAGAGTATGAATGTTGGTGTCTCTTTCAGAGAAATATGTTTGTGGTTATCAATTCAAAATTTGTTAAGAAAATGACCATTTTGAATAATAAGTTTAAAAAATTAAAAAGCTCTAAAAACAAACATGTTTTCCAAAGAGACATAAACATAGTGGAAAATCTTTCTTCGCAGACTTTTGATAAACAAGAGCTCAGTTTATTAAACAAAGGTTTAAAGTATGCATTGCCCAACTCAGGTAGCGCTTTGGAGGAAATCGTCGTTGGTGTTGAAACTGCTATTCAGCACTTGCCCGAGGCTTCTAAAATATTTACAAGAGAGGCTTGTAGAAATCAGTTATCAAAAAATATTGTTTCAAGTAATTCATTAAAATCTAACAAAGAGCACAATATTGTCAAGAGTTTGCGTAACAAAGATTGTTTCTATCTAAAAGCTGATAGGGAAATAAGGTTGTTATATTAGATAAAAAAGACTATTACGATAAGGTTAACAACTTAATAGATAATAGCCCCTACATAAATTTGAAGAAGAATCCCTTATCTAAGATGGTAGCAGACGTTAAAAAAACTCTAAAAGAATGTAACACCCTTATTGATCTTTCTTTAAAGAGGAAATTGCAAGTATCCAATCTGTCATTACCAAAATTGTATGCTTTGCCAAAAATTCATAAACCGGACAAGTCTAAGCGCCCAATTGTTTCGGCTGTAGGTTCTCCGACTTATAATTTGGCAAAATGGTTATCAAGTGAGTTTGAAAATTTACCTGATCATGAACCTTCTTTCTCAGTTAGAAATAATATTGAATTCATTAACAAAATTAAAGATATAACATTGCATGAAGGTGAAATTTTGGTCTCCTTTGATGTATCTTCGTTGTTCCCAAGTGCTCCAATTCCACATACTTTAGGCTATTTGAAGGAATTACTGAACGCAAATGGTCTCGACAACAAAACTGTGATTGAATATATTGAGCTTACATCGTTATGTATGAAACAAAACTGTTTTCAATTTAATAACAACTTTTTTGAACAGCGGGAAGGTACAGCAATGGGTAATCCATTGTCTCCATTTTTGGCTAATTTATTCATGAGCAGGTTTGAAGTGGAAGCTAAGAATCAGTTTAAGTATTTTCCAAGAGTATGGGTTAGGTATGTGGATGATATTTTTGTTGTTTTTGACACACATTGAGACACCATAGATAATTTTATTTCTAAGTTAAATAATCGTTTTCCTTCCATTAAATTTACGCATGAAATTGAGAACAACGACAGATTACCATTTCTAGATGTATTAGTTATTAGAAATACTAATAATTGCGTGGAATTTGATATCTATAGGAAAAATACCACACGCTGATATATTCCTAATGAATCACATCATAGTGTTGAACATAAAATGGCTAGTTTAAATTTCTTAGTTCATAGATTACTTAGTTTCCCACTTTCCAACGAAAGAAATGAAATAGAAAGAGATTACATTAGGAATGTAGCTGAGTGTAATGGATATTCTCCTTCACTAGTTGATAAATTAATTAGAAAACGTAGGTATAGCTTAATGATTTCCTGAAAATTCGACTTTTCAAGTGGAGGAAGATACGTCTAAATATTTTTCGATACCGTTTGATAGAGAGTTATCCTGTGGTCTAAAAGTAATTTTTAAGAATGTCAATTATAAACTTGTGTATAGTGCTAATAATAAATTACAACAATTATTAGGCAATACAAAGGATAAAACACCTCCACTGGAAAGGTCGGGTATTTATGAAATTTCTTGTAAAGATTGTAATCAGAAATATGTTGGGCAAACTAGAAGATCAATATTAACTAGATTTAAAGAATATTTAGCTCAGATAAGATATGGTAGACCGGATAAATCTTGCGTTGCCGAACATATTGTTGTCAATGAACATTGTATAGATCTTAATAATTTAAAATTAATTAAACAAGTCTCAAATTACAGGCAATTAGATGCATATGAAAGCATCAGAATTAATAAATGTAAAGATAGTATGAACAGAGTCAACGGTCCAATTCCT